GTAATTTTCTTCTGTGGTACAGCCCTTGGTAAGGTGCCTTTGCTGACCCCATACCCACGCTCATGCAACAGCCCCAGGTAAACTCAGTGGCTCATAAAATAAAAGGATCCTACAGCTGCTGCAAATTTCCCAGCATTTCACATTCCAGTGAGGGAGGGGTGGAGGGTGCCGCTGGCCAGAAGAGCTTCCCCCTACCTGGCTTCTCAAACACTGTAACTGGAATCTCAGGCTTATCACTTGGCACCTAGTAAAAGAAAACTAGGAGACAGAAAGGGAAATATTTATTTATGGTTTGGGCCAGAACTTGGGAGAAAATTCTTAATTTCTCTCTACCTTTCCTATAGCAGTGTTGAGAAACAGAAACCAAAAGTTGTACTGAGAATTTCACATATGCACACAATTTATTTTCATCATATCCAGTACACACCCCCCTCCAACTTCCCGCAGACCCCCCCACCAGCCACAAAACATGTCCCCTCTCCCAACTTCATGTCCTTTTCTTGTTATAACCCGTAGAGTCCAACAAGTCCTCCTGAAAAGACTGTGGAGTGTCCACTGCATAGTCAACCTACCTATGGCCACACTTCCAAAGAGAAATGACCCTCCCTTCCCCCAGCAGCCATCAACTGTCCATAGCTGCTCAGCTTGAGGTGAGATCTCATGCGTTCCCCACCTACCATGCTGGGATTCTGACTGGCTTGATCTTGTGCAGGTCTTGTTCAGGTAACCACAGCTGCTGTGAGTTCATGAGTGCAACTCATGTCCAGGAGATGAGTTTCACACCCTCCTCCCCACCCTCCAGCTCTTTACATTCTTTCTGCCCCCCCCTTCAATGTTCCCTGCGCTTTGCAGGGGGTCAACAGCTGGGCACTCAACAGTCACTTATTCTCAATACTTTGAAGCATTATGAGTCTCTGCATAAACTGTTACCAAAAGAAGCTTTTCTCTGACCAAGGATAAGAGCAGAACAGATCTGTATAAACATAAATATTTAGAAGGCAGTTTGATGTGACCATTTAGCAAAACAATACTAGGTTCTTCCGAAGCCTATGACCTCCCAGTCACGAGCTTTGACTAGATTTATAGTACCAAGCATAAATGCCCTCCAGTGGAGCAGGCCTCACATCCAAGCAGTTGGTTACCCCCAACCCCTGTGCTGGTTAGATTTTTTTCAACTTGACACAAAGTAGAGTTACCTGGGCAGAGGGAGCCTCCATTGAGGATTTTCCTCCATCAGATTGGCCTCAGGGCATGTCTGTGGGACATTTTCTTGATTGCTGGTTGATGTAGGAGGGTCCAGACCACTGTAGGTGGTGCCATCCCTGGGCAGGTGGGCCTGGATCGTATAAGAGGATAGGTGAATGCCAGGTATGTTCGCACTGGCCTTTAGTCCCAGCACTCAGGAGGCAGAGGCAGGCAGATCTCTGTGAGATCAAGGCCAGGCTGGAACTTACATAGTAAGTTCCAGGCCAGCTGGGGCTACAGGGAGACCTTGTCTCAAAAAACCAGAGAGAGGGAGAGACAGAGACAGAGAGAGGTGGGGTGGGGAAGTAGCTCAGCAAGTCAGGAGAAGCAGGCCAGTAAGCAGCGTTCCTCCGTGGTCTCTGCTTCAGCCCTGCCCTGGAGCCCTGCCTTGTTGATGGACTGTGGGCTGTAAGTCAAATAAACCCTTTCCTCCCCAAGTCGTTGTTGGTCAGTCATTTATCTCAGCAACAGAAGGAAAACTATAATATCCCAGTAACCCTATGCTGCCATTGCCCAGTGGGCACATCTCCCCTGTTACAGGTCAATATGCAGCATGCAGGCTCCAACACTAGGTTAGACACTGGTATCTTTTATCCTCACCCTCCAACCTGCACCACACCTCCTGTTATGAAAGCCAGCTATCAGGTAGAGTTTCCTGGTCAGTTCCAGGTTGATTTCTGTAAGTCCTGAAACCAATGTATATGGTGTGTTCAGCAATGTGGTCTTACCATCTGGTCAGCAGCCCACCATAATTTCTTTTTATTATGATTTATCTATTTTTAATGGGTATGAGTATTTTGCTGCATGCATGTAAAGTGCACCATGTGCAGGCCTGGTAACCGTGGAGCCCAGAAGAGGGTGTTGGATTCCTCTGTAACTAGAGTTACACAAGATTGTGAGCTGCCATGTGGGTGCTGGGAACCGAACCTGGGTCCTCTGCAGGAGCAGCCAGTGCTCTTAATCCAGCCCCTCAGTATAATTTAAGGAAAAGTCCAAATACTGGATCATAACAACCATAAATGTTTTAGCATGCTCAAAAGATGACTCTTTGAAGCTGGAGAGATGGCTCAGCGGTTAAGAGCACTGACTGCTCTTGTAGAGGACCCGGGTTTGATTCCCAGCATCCACATGGCAGCTACGAACTGAACTTAATTCCAGTTCCAGGGGAATCCAATGCCCTTTTCTGACCTCCGAGGCATTGCACGACATGGGTGCACTCACATACATGCAGGCAATATACTCATGCTCATAAAATAAAAATAAATAAAATACTTTAAAAAAAAGAAAGTATCCAATGAGTGCACAAATTTCTTTCTCGTCCTAAAGCTATTTTATGTTCATTTGAATTAGACTATACAGTAATGGCACATAACACTTAATTTCTGTCCTAGTTTGTTTCTCCATTTCTGTGACAAAACACTCTGACCAATATCAACTTGGGGAGGAAAGGGTTTATTTGTCTTACATCTCCCAGGTCACAGTTCATCAGGGAGCCCAAAGTAGGAACTAGGGCAGGAACCTGGAGGCAGGAGCTGGAGCACAGGCCTTGGAGGAACGCTGCTTACTGGCTTAGATCCCCTGGCCCCTGCTCAGCCTGTTTTCTTATGCAACTCAGGCTCATCTGCCCAGGGGTTGCACCACCCACAGTGGGCTGGGCCCTCCCACAACACTCAGCCATCAAGAAGATGCCCCACAGACATGGCCACAGACCAGTTCAATAGAAGAAATTCCCCAACTGAGACTCCCTCAACCTAGGTGTGTCAAGTTGACACTAAAGCTATCCAAGACAGTTGGTAAATCTCAAACTCCTTTATTTTTTATATATTTTGAATTAGCTTTCAGGTGGCCTTCCATAGGATGTTTTCATACATCCTTTATTTCGGTCAGCCCCCCTTCCTCCGTCCTCTGCCCTCCCCCATCCCCCACCCCTAGTTGCTAACTCTCTGGATTGTCCTGTAACCCCTAAGTTCTTCACCACCTGCTGCATTTTGCCTTCAGATTATTAGCTAAAAACAAATGTTTTTCAGACTTTCCTCTGGCTCAAAGGTTTTGTTCCATGAATCTCCTATGTTGGCTGTATGCTCCCCTGTGTTCCCTGCCTGCTGGGTCACCAGGTCTGATGGAGTTTTAGTTGGAAAACATCACATTGCTTCCTCCTTCTCTTTGATAGTATAAGATGCCTCCCTGCTTCTCTCTGTTTCCCCAGGAGTCTAATTTGGGTCTGACACATACATCAGAGCCCATGCACCAAAAGACTGGCTACCAAGAGAGGGTGGGCCCTTTAAAAGAGGAGGCCCAGAGGGAGGACGTGAAGTCCTTGACAGGGGCTCCTCTCTTTTCTCTTCCTGGCCACCATGAGGTGAACAGGACCATGAGGTGATGTGCCCCAGGCCCAGAGGAACAAGGCCAAGTGGGTGTGTATGGAACCCTCTGGAACTGGAGCCAAAATGAATCTTCTCTTCTTCAAAGCTAATTAAACTACCTCAGGCTTTTGTCTCAGTGACAGAAAGATGACTAACACATAGGCAAAGAGACCCATTATTTTTTATCCATCTTTATTGAAGCATAATTGATATACGAAATTACAGTGTTTGGTGAGGAAGAGCTAAGTCGATATTTCTTTAAGCTTTACAAAGTGCTAATATTATAATTGTATCTTTCCTTCTGCATATATGGATAAAAATTTGATACAAAAAAATCACTCATACTCCAGTTGGTTACTGTACCATCTATACATGAGGTTAGCTAAACACTTCTATGAGGACAAGCACGCACGTACGTTTGATTTACTCCTGTACCACTTCAGAGTGGACCACTGCATTTTAGCTTCACTATAGCATTATTGGTTTAATTTGCCATGTTTCTGTTTGCTGTAATTGTCACACATGTGGATTCTGATATCAACCCCCCTCTGTCTGTTTGGCCAGTGGAAACCATCTCAAACTGTCTTCCGAGCTCCTCTGACAGAACCGCAGTGTTGGCAGTTTCCTTGGTTATTAGCACACAATCCAGTCTTAACTGAGCACTGGCTGCACTAAGAGGTTTGGTTTGACTTACTGCCCAGAAGAATAGCAGAACACTACTCTGAGCACATGGATGCATCAAACCACAGGATGCACTGAACCGTAGGCATATCCATTGACCCTGGGTAGAATAGCCATTGCTGACCAGCCTATTCAGTGTATAAAGTTAGAAAATGTTTTTTTTTTCTTTTTCCCTTTTAAAAAGATGTTTGTTTTTATTTTTAGTGTATGAGTGTATTTATTGCCTCCATGTATGTGAGTGCACCTGTGTTGTGCAATGCTGAGGAGGTCAGAAGAGGACTTTGGATTCCTCTGGAACTGGAGTTAAGGATGGTTTGTAGCCTCCATGTGGGTGCCGGGAATCAAACCCAGGTCCTCTGCAAGAGCAGTCAGTGCTCTTAACTGCTGAGCCACCTCTCCAGCCCTTTAAAAAGATGTTTTAAAATTATTTGTATACTTTGTGGGGTTGGGGGGCACAGCACCTGTGGAGGCCAGAAGATGGCATCAGATCCTGGGACCCGGAGTTACAGGAGGTTGTGGGCTGCCAGACATGGGTTTGAAAATCAAAGCTTTGGAAGAGCAGCAAGTGCTCTCAAAGGCTGAGCCATCTCTCCAGTCCCATTTTTTTTTCTTTTTTTGTCTTTTTGAGACAGGGTCTCCTTGTAGCCCCAGCTGTCCTGGAACTCTGATATGTAGACCAGGCTGGCCTCAAACTCACAAAGATCCGCCTGCCTCTGCCTCCCAAGTGCTGGGATTAAAGAAAGGCATGTGCCACCACACCCAGCTTCTCCAGCCCATTTTAAGGTGCAGCAGTTAGTAACCCTAAACATGTACTTTTTTTTTTTTTAACTTTTTTGCAACATTTATGACAAACTGTTCAAAGCTGAACCATCTTGTCAAAGAGTAACTATGTAATTTTCTGCAAAGTTATCCAACTGCCCACACTATAGACTGTATCATTTGGGGTTGATACCAACATCCTACAACAGAAACTATTTTTCTACAATTTCAGCCATAAATTAAACATTGTAATTTTTCCAAGTCTAACAACTGAGAAGCGGTAAGTTGGTATAAAGTCTGTTTCAAAGTCTGTTTCTAACTCGCATTTCTCCTGTTAGGTGAGAGCCTGGGTGTCTTTTCATATAAAAGAACTTCTTGCTACCTCTCTTCCACTTGTATCCCTGTCCTCTTTTAACTTCTCAAGTTCATGTACAGAATGTTCTGTTAACACCTGGGGACTGTCTAGGCCTCTAATGTAGCCGCGTGGACTATGTGCCTATCTTGTGTACCTGTGCTTCTGAGAAACCACCCCAGGTAAGTTTCACCTGGGTAAGCATTCTTTTGTTTTCTGTGACAGTCTCTTATTAATCTAGCAAGATGGGACAACCTTCAAAGAAACAAGAAGGGTGTCGGTCAACATTAAGTGGTAGTGATCAGGACACAGGCACCCTCAAGACATCAGCAAAGCTAACAGCACACTACAGAATATGTGTATTTTTTGAAAAATCATTTCTGAAGACTTAGTGCCCAGGAACTTCATACTAGCATGTCTTCAATAAGCCCAGTCCTGAATATGAATTAACCGCCACAGAGATAAAGACTGTCCCTTTACCATGAATTCCATACTTTCCCCAAAAGGCCCACAGGGTCTGAGAGTGTCTCAGCCTGGCCAGGCTGCTTCGGGAGGTCCCTAAGCTCTCTTTCCAGTTCCCGAAGCCATGAGAAGCTTGGCTCAGCTCCAGTCACAGGCTGGCTGCCTAATTCTCTCCATTTTACAGCCCTGTTGAGAGTCAACATCGTTCTCAAAAAGATCTCTTCTCCGAAGGAGAATTTTAGCATCATTGACCACAGTGTCAAGAAAATAATTTTGCAAATAGTAGCTCTTTCCAAAGTAAAGGCCAGTGGCAATGAGTCCTCCAGTGGTGGCAAAGATTTTCTCTAAGTATTTCATTAGTTTATCCCCAGTGGACTCATCTGGCTCAGCTGACAGCAAATGGGGAGACTTGATGGAGGTTTTGAGTTCCTCCACAGACAGGGACAGATCCTGGGCCATGTTTTCCAGTGATTCGTCATCCAGCCCAAAGAAAACCCTGCAGAAGGTCAAGGTCTTCTCCAGCTCCTCTACTTTGCTGTTGAACAGGCGCATCATAGGGATGGCGGCCGCTGCACCACGCTTCAGGGCCTCCAGCCAGATGGTCTGCTTCAGAGAATCTCTCCTCCATTCAATGGTGGCTTCGGTAACGTTACGCAGGCACTGCATGAAGATGTAACGCTTGTGTGCGGGCAGCTCCTTTAGAAGGGTGGACTCCAGCTCAGGAAAATCAAATTGAGCTACTTCAACACTAGAAATCAGGAAGACCCGCCCAGTGCCCACGTCAGCCTTCTCTAGGTTTTTCAGACAGTCATTTCGGATTTGCTGCAGGACTTCGTCCTCGTCATAGGCCTTGGGTCTACACTTTGCCTGATCACGTAAATCACTGTCCACTTTTGTTCGAACAAAGTAGAAATTCTTCTTCATTTTTTCAATCGCTTTGGCCAGCTGGGCGTCATTCTCTCTGAAGCGTGTAGATGAGATGATGATGAAGAAGTCGTACTCATGAAACTTCATTTCATGCAGATACGTTTCTGCTTTGAACGTAGTGGTCCCAATACCAGGCAGATCCCAAATTGTTACCTTAGGAAACTTGGGGTGTATATAGCTTGTTCTCTCTGCAGTTGTCTCCACCACCCCAGTGGCAGCTGCTCCGTCTTCTTCATGCCCTATCCCCCGCAGGGCATTGATGAATGTGGACTTTCCTGCCCCGGACTCTCCTGTCACCGCGATGTTCAGAGGGGCATTCTCCAGGTCTTTCAAGGCAGTGTTGATGATGGAAACAGTCTTCTGGAAGTCCCCCTTCTGTAAGTGAGCCTGAATCAGACTGATGGTTTCCTCCGAAATGACCTTACTTTCCAGCTTGAAAGTTTTGAAATTCGTGTTAAAGCTGGAGGCCAGATGGCCGTGGGCCTTTGTATCAGATGTGGAGGGAGCCTGGCCCATGACTGTGGCAGCTGTGGACACTAGAGGAGGAGACAGACGTGGGGAAGAAAGTCAAAGAGTGAGCAGAGCAAGGCAGGGCTTGGCTCGGGGTTAGGGAGAGGCAGAACACCATCTCCAGACCCACACAGAAAGCTCACTGGGTATCTCAGACATCCGGCCTGAATGTCAAGTGGCCCTCACCCAGGACTGTTCCTATCCTTGACTGCCCACTTCTTTAAGACTGTCCATTAATCTCAAGATCTGATCACTCTGTCCAGACTTTCCTGGCTATGTTAGTCTTCATCTTGTTTTAGTTATTTTTATTATTATGAAAAAAAAAAGTTTTCACATGGCACCAGTCTAACAAACAGCAGAACTGCCACCACACTGCATCCCATTTGTGGCATGACCATCCCTGTCTGTGAGACTTACTATCAAGCTAGGGTGTAGTTCAGGGATGTCCTTTTGCTTAGAATGCACCAAGCCCTGGGTTCAATCCCCATTACCACAAAAAGAAAACAACAACAGAAGGTGTCCTGTAAAGCTAGAAGGGGGTAAAACAACACAGCTAGTAAAAGCACAGACAGACCGACAGAGGTAAGAGAGTAGCCCAGGGGCTGGAGAGACAGCTTAGCGGTTAAGAGCACTGGCCACTCTTTCACAGGTCCTGGGTTTGGTTCCCAGCACCCACATGGTGGCTAATGACCATCTGTAACTCCAGTTCCAGGGGATCCAATGCCCTCCTCTGGCCTCTGTAGACACTTGAAGCAAGTCGTGTACATACAGACAAGCAGGCAGATACATTAATTTTTTTTTCTTAAATTATTTTTTTTAAAGAATAGAGTCTGTCCAGTCCCGCTGGACCTGTTATTGGTGGGGTCGAGGGGGCAGCTCCTAAAAGAGAACCATGGGGGAGAGAAGAGAGGGAACCAAGTGCACAAGAAAGGCAAGGAGTCGCTTCTGAGTTGCGTCAAGGTTCGTTTATTGAGTGGTAAGCAGGCCTTTTATACTACAAATCTAGGACAGTGGAAAAACCCCGTGGGGGGGGGTGTCGGTTTTAGGTCTGCTTCCTCTTGCAACAGAACTTCCTTATAGCTAAGCAGGTGTCTAACCGCAGGGTGTTTCAAAGACAAACAGACTCATTATTTCAGAACTTCCTCGGCCCCTGACATTTCCCCCTTATTCTTTATATATATTAGCTGAGCGCCTGTCTTAGGCTATGTGATGGGCCTCCCAGGGTGGGATCTCAACGAGCAGAGCCTCTGTCTTAGGCTACGTGAGCGGCCTCCCCTTTGTCAGTGGCAAGGACTTCGGGGGCTCACGCTAATCCCGTCATTGAGTACTCTGCAGCAGATCTGCCGCCACGCCTGGGCATCACAATAATCCCGTCATTGATGTCTCTGCTTTTACTTAGCCCAACGGCTAAATTTTAGCTGGAATCCATGTGGATCATCAGTGTGATCCTCTCAGGGTTCTATACAAGTGTCAGGATCATGGCCAGACTGAAGTCGGGTATAATATACAGCGGGAGATGAGGAACTAATTTGTTCTTTTATGAATCTGATAAGCCGCTGGAACAACCAGGGTCCTAAGGAAACTACTATAATTAATCCTACTAATGGTCCTAATACAGAGGGAAGTAGGGTGGTTAACCAAGGGGAAGAAGAAAATCAATTTTGATACCAGGCTTCTTGTTTTTCGCGATTTCTTTTTCTATCTTCTAAGGCATTTTTAAGAATTTTCATACTATTTTGTACTATGCCAGTATTATCAATATGAAAACAGCATTCTTCTTTTAAAGCTGCACAAAGCCCTCCTTGTTGGAGGAATAACAAATCTAGTCCTCTGCGGTTCTGCAGGGCGACCTCGGCTAACGAGGAAACAGATTTTGACAGGTCAGTTATGCCTTGCTGGAGACGAGAAAGGTCCTCATCTATGGTTCTTTGTAAGGCCTCAAACTGCTGGTCTGTACATATTAAGGAAGCAATCCCAGTTCCTGCCCCTACAGCCCCCATTCCAAGGAGAAGAGAGACAGTGTGAGCGGAGATCGGTTCTCTGCGTTGTCGGATGTGGGTCTCTTCATCAGCTGTATTCCAGAGGGTAAAGAATTCTGATCCCTCTCTATACTTTATCCTTGGTAAAAGTTGGACTAGGAGACAAACGTCTGACCTGTTAAAGAGTGTATCTATAAAGATACAAGAGGTTAGACCCGAATGACAGAGCCACCATGCCTGGGGGGGCCTTTGGAGGACAGTGGCATTTCTCCCTGGGATAAAGGTTTCATTGCAGAATTTACTGGTTGAATTTGTCAACAGTTTCGTTCCAATGCATTGGCCTCTTCCTACTATTTGAAGTACCATTAGCGTGGGGGCGTAGGTGCTGCAATTGTCTGTATTGTTATGGGCAAGAGATGCTAAGCTTTGGTTGGGGAAGCTTGTAACAACAGTGTCATAGAAGGGGGGGTTCGCATTAAGGCAGAGCCAGCAATCTTTAAGCGTTTGGTTCGTTTCTCGTGAAGCATAATAGGTGGCATTAATTAATTTAAGGACCATACTTTCAGTTTATTTGGGAGAGGCAAAGACAGCTGGGTCGTGGTCCTTGGTTTTATTAGAGTGGGATGTAGTTTGATTAAGCTTCGCAAAAGTTGGACTAGATTCTTGATTATTACCCACTGGAGACTTTTTAAGTTTAATCTTAAAGATTAAGCCGTCATCATATCTTTCCTTATACATCCTTATACCCCAAGTATAGCTCTTTGTTAACCAATTATCTTCTGACACTTTTTTTCCTTTTTCTGTAAAGGTTATTTTTAATGTATTGCACCATTTATTTATGCAATTGTTTGTAGATCTTTCTTTCCACATCTTACTCCACTCATGGTCAGAAACATAGTATTTATTAGTAAAATTATACTTAACAATGATGTAATCCCAACTGGAAGAGGGATTCCAATATGCCTCTCCAGTGGTTTCACAGCCCCAGTTTTTGCAGTAAAAGTCCACTAAGCCACCACATTTGGGATTACTCTCAGTGGGGCGGTGGGTGTAGCTGGGGCAAACATAAAATTCTAGAGTGGATAACTGTGCTCTTCTCTCTGCACGACCGCACCCACCCCAAGGATCTAGGCCAAAGCGTCCCTTTGGGCTTTCTTCCGTAGGGGGTTGAGCGAAAAGCTTTGCCTCTAGTCCTTCTAGGTCCCAGTTTGCTGGGGCCCCCAAAGCCAACTGGCATAAGTCTGGGTATAACTCTGGCCACCAGATTGTATTTGTCACTTTAGAAGTAGACCAAATGGGAGAATTGGCGTAACCTATGACCTCCCAAGTATAATTCCAAGTAGTATGGATGGAGGTCCCAGCCGTCCCCCCTGTAGATGGCGAGGTCACGACAGCAAGGAGCAGGAGTGTTGCCAGTGGGCAGCGCATCTTCTTTGTCTCACAGGATCTAAAAATAAAAAAAAAAGGAAGGAATATTCTCAAGGCTCTAAGTCCTTGGTGTTGGGTTTAGAAAAAGGTTTAATGAGTCTTTCTGGGAGCCATTGTGCTCCTTGTTCTTGTAAATCATATACACAGGCGGAGCCTTTGGCCCAAATGAGCAATGGATCAAGGCCTTTCCATTTATTATCTTTGGGATCCTTCCAAAGAACTTGAGCAAAATTATCTTGTGATGAGGGGTGCCAGAGACAATCGGCAGCAGAATGTCCCTGTTTGTCTAAAGTAAGGAAGTTTAGCACAAAGAGGGCATGTGCTAATATATTCTTTACTCCTCCCCGCAGGGGGTATAGTGTTTCTTGGTTTTGTAATTTGAATAAGGTATTTTTTAGGGTCTGGTTCATTCGCTCTACCATACCTTGTCCTTGTGGGTTATAAGGGATCCCAGTGGTATGTTGGATCTTTAATTGAGAGCAGAATTGTTTGAACTTTTCACTAGAATAAGCGGGACCATTATCTGTTTTTAACCTTTTGGGGATCCCCATGGCAGTAAAAGCTTGTAACATATGAGAGATAACATCCCGGGCCGCTTCTCCTGAGTGGGCCGAAGCGAAAACAAAGCCGCTATAAGTATCTAGTGAAACATGGACAAACCTAAGCCTCCCAAAGGTAGGAACGTGAGTAACGTCCATTTGCCACAATTCTCCAGGTAGAAGGCTCCGGGGATTGGTCCCGGTGTGGGGCTCAGGCAAGAGGGTAAGACAATTTTTGCATTGTTTAACAATTTTTCTTGCTTGTTCTCGGGTTATTTTATATAAGAGTCTTAAGGATTGGGAATTCAAATGATGGATGTTATGAGCCTTTTGGGCTTGTAAATATCTATCTTCCTCCATAGTGAAGTAGATGTCTCTAGTAGAAATATCAGCTAGCTCATTACCCTTAGAAAGAGGTCCTGGTACGTCTGAGTGGGCCCTAATATGTCCAACAAAAAACGGGTGAGATCGGTGTCTTATTAGGACTTGTATCTCAGAAAATAGTTGGAAGGTATTAATACAGGGTTGTACCGTGGGTACCATCTCAATGACAGAAAGGGAATTGAATACAAATCTGCTACCGGTATATAGATTAAAAGGTGTCTTGGAGAAAACTTTAAATACAGTGACCGCTGCAGCCAGTTCAACTAGTTGGGCAGAGCAAAACGGGGTTTGGACTTCATAAGCTTGGTTGTCAACAACATAGGCAGCTTTCCCTGAACTTGAGCCATCTATAAAGACAGTTTTTGCTCCTATAATTGGTTCTTGTTTTGTAACATTTAGGAAAATAAAAGGGGTGGTTTTTAGGAATTGAATAACTTTATTTCCGGGGTAATGGTTGTCTATTTTACCCAGAAAGGTGGGGATGAATATGGACCAAATGTTTAAGTTTTGTTGGAGCCAATTTATTTGATCTCTGGAGTAAGGGGTGATTAGGGTCTCGGGGGGTCTCCCAAAGTAAAGGGTGGAGAGTCTAGTTCCTTCTAGGGCGATTTGTCCTACAAGGTCTGGGTAGGTAGGGAGTACCTTAGACGTCGAAGCAGACAAATGGACCCACATCAAGGATTGCGGGTCTTGCCAAAGGAAGCCTGTGGGTTTAAATTCTGTTGGGAAGATAATTAGATATATGGGTAGTTTTGGATTGAAATATCCTATATTTTGGGTAGCGATCACCTCCTCTACCTTGATGAGGGCTTGTCTGGCTTCAGGGGTAAATTCTCTTGGGGAAGTAGGGTCTGGGTCTCCAATCAATATATTATAGAGGGGTTTTAATTCCCCTGTGGTTAGCTTTAAATACAGGCGAAGCCAATTAATGTCGCCTTAAAGTCTTTGGAAATCATTTAAAGTATGAAATTTGTCCCTGCGTATTTGTATCTTTTGCGTTTGAATACTGTCTGCATGTAATTGGAATCCTAGAAAAAGGTAAGGGGGGGCGGTCTGTACCTTTTCAGGGGAAATATGGAGTCCTTTTTGAGATAGGGCTTGTACTATTTTTTGAGCTATCCATGTCACTTGGGCGTCCCGGGCAGCAGCGACCAAAATATCGTCCATATAGTGGATGATATAGGTATTGGGGTGTTGAACACGTATGGGGTCAATGATTTGGGCCACGAATTTCTGACAGAGGGTGGGAGAATTAGTCATCCCTTGAGGGAGGACTCTCCATTGATATCTAGGGTTAGGGCCACAATGGTTAGTTACAGGGATGGAAAATGCAAACCTTTCTCTGTCTTCAGGATGTAAGGGAATTGAGTAGAAACAGTCTTTAATATCTAGCACTTGTTTACAGTATCCTCTTGGGATAGGTACTGGGGATGGTAAACCAAGTTGAGTGGCCCCCATGGGTATCATGGTTTTGTTTACTTCCCTTAAGTCTTGAAGTAGTCTCCACTTATTATTTTTTTTTATTACAAAAATGGGTGTGTTCCACGGAGATGTTGAGGGCTCTAGGTGCCCTAGCAATAACTGTTCCTGCACTAATTGTAGAGCCGCTTGTATCTTAATTGCGGGCATGGGCCACTGATCTACCCAAACAGGAGTATTGGTTTTCCAACTGATTTTATCAGCTTGGGGTGCAGGAGGATCAGTGGCCTTTATGAAAAAGAGTATTCGTTGTTTTTATTTTACTTCCCAGCCCTTCTCTATTTGGGTTAGGTTGAGGCATAATAGGCTGAGTAATTCCTTGTTGCTTTTTTCCTAATCCCTGTCCTGGCAAATAACCTGTTTTGAGTAACATTTGTGTCACCTTATCTCCAGGGCTCATCATTAATATTCCCATTTGTGTCATAATATCTCTTCCCCAGAGGTTAACTGGGAGGTCAGAGACAACAAAAGGTTGAATATGCCCCAAATTTCCTTCCTTGTCCCTCCAGGACAATAGTTTAGAGCTTTGCATTGTGTTCTGAGTTTGGCCAATGCCCCTAAGGTGGGTAATGGAGAAGTCTAAGGGCCAAGCCTGGGGCCAACTTTTGCTGGAGAGGACTGTAACATCAGCCCCAGTATCTAACAATCCTCGGAAGGCTTTTCCCTCCAACCATAATGTCAGCAGGGGTCTGGACTCAGTCAGTTGTTGAACCCAAAAAACATCTGAGGATCCAGGGGAAGTTTGACCCCGCTGGGCATGTAGGTGGGAAAAGTTTCATGGGCTAGGTAATGGGAGTGCTTGTGCAATTTTTTGCTCTTTCCAAATAGTTACAGGTCCTTGAGGCGCTGTCACCAGGAATTTTATTTCTCCACTGTAATCATTGTCAACTACAGAAGGGATCACTAACAGACCCTTCACAGAAAGAGAAGCTCTACCAATTATGAGAAAAAATGTATTTGGTGGGGGGGGGGCCATATAGGCCAGTTTCTATGATTACTGTGCCATCCTCCGGTCTTATAATCCTGGAGGTGGAGGAACTGAGGTCCAGTCCTGCGCTTCCTGGGGTAGCTCTTGTCCAGCTCTCTGGAAATGTATTGGGACTGGGGTCTGGGTAGGAATGGATGGGCCCCGTGTTGGGGCCCTCCACCCGTTTCCCTGGACCGCAGCAAGAGGTTGGCCGCTGATGTCAGTTTGTGAGCGGCAGTCTCGAGCCCAGTGTCTACCTTTTTTACACTTCGGGCAAAGTCCAGGAACTGGCCTTATAGGGTTTTTTTCATTCCCCGTGTTTGGAGGGGTTCCCTTCCCTGGACAATACTTAGCGATATGGCCCGATTGGCCACAGGCAAAACATGAGTTAGAATAAAGTCTAGGACCTCTATTTTGTTGTAACATAGTTCCCATGGCTAATTGGATTGAGTATGTGGTGGAATCCACTTCATTACAGACCCTAATCATTCCTGCGAGATCTAAATTTTTTGCTCTCCCTCTCAAAGCCGCTTTACAGGCTGAGTTTGCATTCTCCAGAGCTAACTGTCTAACCAAAAGGTTATCTCCCTCGTGTATTCCTAAGGTTCTCTCTGCTGTCTCTTGTAGTCTTGCCACGAACTGCGGGAAAGGTTCCTGAGGGCCCTGAATTATCTTACTTAAGGGTGTAGTGACTGCTCCAGGAGTGGGCAGCGCTCTCCACGCCGTCAGGGCAGCTGTGTTTGTTTGGAGTAGTAGCCCTGGGGAGAGGTTTTTCTGTGATTGTTCCGAGGCGAATTTCCCCTTACCAGTAATTTTATCTACTGTCCAGCTCGCGTGACCATCCTTTTTATTGGCTGATGCGAACTGCTCTGCCTTTTCTATGAATTCAGTTTTCCAAGTCAGATATTGTCCTCTACTTAAGACTGACTGAGTAATCTGGTGCCATTCACAAGGCAATAAGGCTCCTCCTCCTGCTAGTGCTTCTAAGATTGCTAAAGTGAAAGGGGCTCCGGATCCGTAATCTCGGACCGCTGAAAACAATTGTTTAATATGCTTGAATTTAAGTTTTTTGTAAATCAGGGGTTTGGCAGGAGGTTCCTCATCTGTATCTTCTTCGGAACTACTTAAAATCACTTGTTTCGCTTTATTTTAATTTTAACTGGTACACCTTTGTTGCCTCTTTGTCTACGGGAACTCCCCGAGTCTTCTTCCGAGGCGCTTCCCTTTTGAGATCTGCCTCTAGAGCTATTTTTTGTGTTCTCTGAACTTTTATAAGAGCTAGTTTCGCTTTCGGGTTTGTCTCTATTCTCTGAGTCATCTGTTGTTTCTGAATGTCGGGCTCCTTCCTCCTCGGAGTCCGAGGAGGTGGAGGAGACGACCACTCGTTTTTTCTTTTGACTAACCTTTTGGGTCTGAGATCGAGTCATTACTGGGAACCCGAATTTTTGTATTTTGTATCCTTTTTGATTATGTATTTTAGGATCTTGGCTCTTATCTGTCAATCTTTTTTCTAGGTTGTGGACTCTAAGAGATAAACTTTGAAAGTCTTTTTGTAATTGGGGAGTTCTTTTTGTTCCTATAGTAGATTGTGACATATCGGCTTTTTGCATAGCCTTGAGTGGGGGAGCTGAAGGGATGGTGGGAGCATTATTAAAGTAAGAGGTCCCACGACGGCCTGTGGGGAGTAGTTTTGTGGAGGTGGTCGGGACCTAGCATATTTAGCCGCTTCTTGTTCTAGCTGTTCTTCCTTCTCGGGGTTAAGCCAATTGTCTGAATCGGGAAAGGTATCTAGGACAGGATATATTTTCTTTATTCCTCTTTCTGTTTCATTATAATCTGGTGGGAGGAGAGGCCGGGCAAGGATAGGGTCTGGAGGAATCGGGCTGTCAATTATGGATGGTGCGGGGGGAAGGATCTCTCACTTTATGTCTGAAAGAAGATTCAGGGCTGTTTAGGGGGTCCGAATTATCTTTTACAACTGGTTCTGTCCGTCCCGAAGGGGAGGAGCAGCGACTCAGAAAATCTTCGGTTAAGACGGGAGTGTCCTCCACTTCTCTCAGCCTCACCTAGAATATCTCCTACTAGGCCGTACAGAAAGAACTTGTCAGGAATATTTTTTCCCTTTTCTATGTGCTTGTTAAAATCTTTTCCTACTTTTGCCCAAGAATGTGGGTGTATTTCAGGGCCCGTCAGCACGAGCCATGGGCAATGGGAATCAACATAAGAAAAAAATTCAACTAGATCTTTCTTTTTTATTCTCACTCCCTTCTCCCTACAGGGCTCCTTTATACCTTTGATAAAGGCAGCCTCCTTTGACAAATTCTTGCCCATAGTAAGTTGTGATGGTCCCTTACCTTCTGCTTTTCTCGGTCAGCGTGAGCGGCACCACCGAGGGGATATGCTTCTTCTATTCTTTACTGGAGCTCCAACCGCCGGATCCGTCAGGTAGCCCACCGTACCTCGAGCCCCACGTTGGGCGCCACCTGTCCAGTCCCGCTGGACCTGTTATTGGTGGGGTCGAGGGGGCAGCTCCTAAAAGAGAACCATGGGGGAGAGAAGAGAGGGAACCAAGTGCACAAGAAAGGCAAGGAGTCGCTTCTGAGTTGCGTCAAGGTTCGTTTATTGAGTGGTAAGCAGGCCTTTTATACTACAAATCTAGGACAGTGGAAAAACCCCAGAAGCAGTGGAAAAACCGAAGAAGGTTTGTGGGGGCGGGGGGGGGGGGGGGGGTGGGTGTCGGTTTTAGGTCTGCTTCCTCTTGCAACAGAACTTCCTTATAGCTAAGCAGGTGTCTAACCGCAGGGTGTTTCAAAGACAAACAGACTCATTATTTCAGAACTTCCTCGGCCCCTGACAGAGTCCAGGCCAGGCATGGTGGTGCACACCTTTAATCCTAGCACTCAAGAGATAGAGGCAGGTGGATCTTTGAGACTAAGGCCAGCCTGGTCTGCATAGTGAGTTCCAGGCCAACAAGGGCTGCATAGTGAGATTGTCTCAAAAAAAAAAGAACTGATACCCTTCCCAGAGACCAGCTGAGAACACAAGCAAATAGACCAGCAGAGTCACAAAGCTCTTAGGAGGTAACTCAGGAGGGATCCTGAAGATCCAGGACAGCTTTTTAGAAATGACATCAAAGCCATAGTCTATGACCGAAATAACTGATACACCAGACCTTGCCAAAGTTTGAAATTTATTCTTGGGGTTGGAGAGATGGCTCAGCAGTTAAGCGTGCTTACTACACTTGCAGAGAACCTGAGTTCAGTTCCCAGCATCCATGTCGGGTGGCTCACAACCACTGGTAACCCTAGCTCCAGGGAATCCAATGGCCTCTTCTGACCTTTGCAGACACCTGCATGCATATGCATACACATACACAATAAATAATAATAATAATAGTGGCCTGAGAGATGGCAGGGTTCAGTCCACAGCACCCACATGGCAGCTCACAACCATCTGTAGGAGCTCACAACCAGTTCTAGGAGATCTAGCGCCCACTTCTGGCTCTATAGGCACTGCATGCACAGAGTGCATATACGTACACTCAGGCATACAAATATAAACATAAAATAAGTCTAAAAAAACACTTTTCAGGCTGGGTATAGTGATGCACACCTTTAATCCCCGTGTTCCGGAAGCAGGGGCATGCAGATCTCTGTTGATCTCTGTGAGATCAAGGCCAGCCTGGTCTTCATAGCAAGTTCCTGGCCAGCTGGGACTATAGGGAAATCCTGTCTCAAAAAAAAAAAAAAACTTTTAAAAAAAAGACAGCATAAGCCAGGCGTGGTGGCACATGCCTTTAGTCCCAGCACTCAGGAGGCAGAGGCAGGCAGATCTCTGTGAATTCAAGGCCAGCCTGGTCTACATAGTGAGTTCCTGGACAGCTGGGGATACAGGGAGACCCTGTCTCAAAAAGACAAAAAAAATAAAAATAAAAAAACGCACAAGAAGAGAGTCCACAGACTTGGACAAAGTATTTACAAAAGGTCCATCTGATAAAAGACTGTAACCCAAACTATGACTAATTCTTAAAACTGAACAGTAAGGACAAACAACATTTAATAACATTGAATAAATGAGTCCATACCCCCAGCCTCACCCTCATCAAGGACGATACACAGATCATCGAAAAAATCACAGGAAAAGATGCTGTACATCAGGAGGTTATGATGGAATGGGATTAAAATGTCAGTGAGGTGCCACCTCACACTGATGAGAGTGGCCAAAACCTGGACCTTCAACAATGTGGGGGGCTCACAAGACCATGGAGCAGCAGGGACCCCCCCCATGGGTGGGAATGTAAAATGGAATGTCCATTTTGGAAGACAGCTTGGCAGTTTTGTTAGCACTAAATACAGTTGCTATACACACACTCCTTGATATGTACATGTTTCTTTCCACGAAAATCTGCACATGGATGTTTATAGGTTTGCTTATAATTGCCCAACCTTAGAAACAGCCAAAATGCCCTTTGGTAGATGAATGGATTAATGAGATGTGCAGTCTCCAGATGATGAAGTGCTGTTCACTAATGCAAGAACTGCACTGCACTGTCAGGGCTGGAGAGATGGCTCAGTAGTTAAGAGCACTGACCGCTCCTCCAGAGGACCTGGGATTCCCAGCACCCACACAGCAGCTAACAACCATCCTTAACTCCAATTTCAGGGGATTGGACAGTCTTTCTGACCTCCTCTGCACGACACAGGTGCACTTACATGCAGACAAAACACTCATACACATAAAATAAAAATAATAAAAAATCGGGGCTGGAGAGATGGGTCAGAGGTTAAGAGCACTGGCTGCTCTTGCAGAGGATGCAGGTTCGATTCCCAGCACCCACATGGCAGCTAACAACTGACTATAACTCCAGTTCCAGGATGCCCTCTTCTGACCTCCACAGGCATTGAACAACATGGGTGCTCTTACATACATGCAGGCAATATAGATAAAATAAAAATAATAAAAATTTTTAAAAGTAAAATAACAATAAAGTAAAATAAGAGAAATGAACTATCAATCCACAAAAAAAGCCTGGAGGAGGCTCCTGTTACTACATGAAAGGAGCTACCTGCAGAGACTTCAAGAATCCAACTGCACAACCTTCTGGGTAAGGCAAAAGTATGGACATGTGAAACGTCTTTGGTGGCCAGGAGTGGTTGGGGCATGAGAGCTTGGGAGCAGAGAGAATGCTTGGTGAGGTTCTGTAACCACGGGTTGTGGCCTGGGCAATTTCCGGGGCTCCCAGGATCTTCCAGCCACTGGAAATCTATCCACTGAGCGCAAGCCTGTCCAGAACGAGAGGGAAGTGGAGAGTGCGTTCCATAACCCTCTGGTGCCCTCTGTCCACACTCACCTCATCCCAACAGCCCTGTAAACACTGTAATTATTTCCACCTTAAAATTAAGCACTTTCCTGAAGGGTCCTAAGGATCAAAACCCAGAAAGCCTTGTGCATGCTAGGCAAACACTACCACTGAGCTACATCCCTAGCCCCCTCCACCTTAAAATTAGGGATCAAAGAAACAGAGAAGTTGAGAGACAAGTGGGGGTCCTGCTGTTCCCTGAGATCAGACTGGGATTCCAGGTGAATTCCCTCCTGCCCAGGGCAGAGTTCTTCACAAAGAGGCCAAGGCTAAGCCCGTAGTTTGGCAGGAGGATGAAATCAGGGTTCAAGAAACACTGAACTATGGGCTATGGCGCTTGTGATGATAGATAATGTCCCTTGTCTTCCCAGGGAAAGGTCTAGAGATCCGATGGGGAGGGCTGGTGTTGGGGAGTCTCTGAAAGCCTCTCTCATTGATCCCCATCTCCTCCATTGTCTTCCTGCAGACCAAAGAAGTTTGAATATGACTTATCTCCCAAATATTAAATTCTCTGAATAGCTTATAACTGTCCTCCACCCAACCTATCCCTCAGCCTAAGTCCATGGTACCCCAAACAAACCCCAAAGCTGTCCCACCCTCAGGCCGACACATCTATCATTCTATTTGTAGACCCGCATTAATTCAAAAATATTTTCTCACTCACCAGCTCCTTAGAGAAAAGAGATTTCTGGTGGCAGAGTTGAGCTCCCACTGTCTCCACTGCAAAAGCAGAAGGTGCTGGGTCCGCTGAAGAGCTTCCGGCAGCCCCGGGTACAGCGAGCGCAGAGCTGCACAGGTCTGTCTTCACCTGCAATTCCAAGTCTAGTGTGCTTGTGTGGCCACTGCAGAGAAGAAAAGGGCTAGCCTCCACCCTGAAGGGAGTGTAAGGAGAGGAACTTATCTCCAGCTGCTGTGCTGCCCTCCCCAGAGTCCGGCCAACAGGAGGGAGCAGCCCAGCAGCCCAACAGCCCCACTGCCTTAGAGCACCGATTTCCAGGAACAGAAAAGTGAAACCAAACCTCCCTAAACACTTCCCCCAAACGGACTGATTTCCAGGAATAGAAACTGAAAGTCACCAGGACGCATTGTTAGTGTGCTTTTGTTGTGATGACCAGTGCAGGGTGCAGGAGGCCCGGCAGGAGGTTCTCAGTGACTGAAAAGGCTGAACCAGGGCATACAAACCTGAGTCCTGGGTTGGTCACTCAGGGCCTCCTACGCAGTCTACACAACCAGCCCCAATAGGGTTACTAGAACAATGTGTTTACACTCCTGATCCTGGGTGCAGACTTTTGAAAGCTCTCCGAATTTCTTCATTAACTTATGGTGGGCTCTGGGCAAAACTTGACATCCCATACAGGAAGGAAAAGTGTTTACACAGGCTCAGTAATTTGCTAGAAAAGCACACAGAACTCAGGAAAGTACTGTACTTAACAGTTATGACTTTATTATAAAGAGACTGTGTAGGGTGAGGTCTGAAAGGGAGCATAGATTCTCTCCTCCCTGCCCCTTGGAGGGGACACGTCCCCTTCGAAGCACAGTAGTGCATGTATCTTATAATCCAGGGTTTGTGTTGGATGTCTGCCCAGCCGCCTTTCCCTACAGTGTTCCCAAATCACAACCCTCCAATCACCTGGGCCCACTGGAAGACACGCTGTCCTCTTCACTAGAATTGATCTAGAGAATATAGTAATATCCTTCTGGTCTGGGTGGGAGATGGGGATTGCCCAAGTTGAGAACCACCGACTACATTAACAGAAAAAAAAAAAAGAGAAAAATTGCCAATATTGAAATAGAAACTGGACATCACTGCACATACAAACACTACGTGGTCTAGTAATCTCCTGTGCCTAGCTCTAGCAATCTAAAAGTGCAAACCCATCACAGCTCTGTACGTGAAGTCCAGCAAGACTGGGCTAAAATCAAGACATCTTTCAAGGCCAGGCTGAGAATGAGGCTCAGTTGGTAGAGTGTCTTGCCTAGTGTACATGAAGGTCTGGGTTCCATCCCCAACACCACATAAACTAGGCATGGTGGCACATGCCTATAATTCCAGCATTTGGGAGTTAGAGGCAGAAGGATCAAGAATTCAAGGTAAAGGGAGTTCAAAACCAGCTCCGGCTACTTGGGAACAACTCAATAAATAAAAAAATTTTAAATAAGATAAAGGCATGCACCTTTAATCCCAGTACTCAGGAGATAGAGAGAGAGGCCAGCCTGGTGTACATAGTGAGTTCCAGACCAGCCAAGGCTACATAGTGAGACCCTGTCTCCAAATAAATAAATAAATAAATAAATAAATATAAACTAAAAAAATATTAAAAAATAAATATCAGAATAGGTGCTGGAGAGATGGCTCAGAGGTTAAGAGCACTGGCTGCTCTTGCAAAGAACCAGGGTTCAATTCCCAGCACCCACATGGCACCTAACAATCATCCATAACTCCAGTTCCAGGGGATCCAACACTCTCTTCTGGCCTCTGTGAGCATTGTATGACATAGGTGCACTCACATACACATAAAACAAAAATGAAAAAATAAAATACCAGAATAATCCTTTGTATAATGCATAAATTCAATCTATAATGAAAATCCTTTTTTGCTGAGAAGCCAGATGAGGAGGCTTCACTGGTGAGGTTTGGTTTTTGCTTTTGCTTTTTTTTTTTGGCTTTTTGAAACAGGGTTTTCCTATAGCCCCAGCTGTCCTGGAACTCACTATGTAGACCAGGCTGGCCTTGAACTCTCAGAGATCTGCCTGCCTCTGCCTCCTAAGTGCTGGGAATAAAGGTGTGCACCACTATGACTAGCTTTACTGGGTGGTTTTATCCAGCTTGTGAAGAACTGAGGCCTAGCCTTTCTGTAGAACTTTTCATAGACAGAGCTTTGGGGAGAGAGAAGAGCCCAGCAGGAAGGCTCTGGCAATTCCACCTCTCCACTTCTAAGTGCTGCCGGCTCCTGGTTTTCTAGTTTGTGGATGTTTTGGTTCCCTGGTTAGTCCATCAGAAGTACAGCAATCTGGTTTGAAATACTAAAGTGGGTGTTTTCCTGACCACATCCCCTCTGATCCAGAGGATGTGGAAACAGTTATGTGAGGTAAAGGCCCTGAGAGACTAGGAGAGACTCCTAAGGAGGAGGCTCTGCTGAAGATAAAGGCCATCCCAAGCCACCACTGGGAGGAAGCACAGCCTGTGCTCCGCATCCACACCCCTGAGCTCTACATCCCTGTGCTGTGCACCCCTGCGCTCTGCCGCTCCCCACTCTGTTTCATCAAAGTTCCATGGAGATATTTTGTTTAATATTTTATTTATTATTTTTATGTGTACAAGTGTATTGCCTGCATGTATGTGAGTGCACCCGTGTGGTGTAATGCGGTGGAGGTCAGAAGAGGGCTTCGGATTCCCCTGGAACTGGAGTTAAGGAGGGTTCGTTGTCGCCATGTGGGTGCTGGGACTCAAACCCAGGTCCTCTGCAAGAGCAGTCAGTGCTCTCAACCGCTGAGCCATCTCTCCAGCCCCCCATGGAGATATTTTAAAAGAATTTCTTGGCAATGTTTTCCCTTTTATTAGTACCAATTGTACACGCCACACAACGGGCACTAGCTTAGAAGCTGTTTAACACAGCAGCTTTTCCCTTATCTTAAGAGGAAAAAAGCAAACATTTCCAGACCCAGATCCTGCCTGGCAGACTGAACGGAGCCAGGTTTACAAGCCCTGCTTTTCCTGATTCCCCCTGCTTGATATTTCCCCCAAAACTTCTCCCCCCCTTCTGCACCCTATAGCCCCCGTATATAAGTCCCAGCTCACAACCTGTGGGCTGACATCTTTCCCTTCTCCGAGGGAAACGTGTCCCGTGTGAAATAAAGCTGTATCCCGCTGAGAGTTCTATCTGTGCCTCGATGCCTCATCCTTCATCCGCTCGCTCTCCACCCAAACCTTTTACCTATCACTTTGTGCCAACAGTTTCTTGGCATTTCCATACACCCCGTATATAAGTCCCAGCTCACAACCTGTGGGCTGACATCTTTCCCTTCTCCGAGGGAAACGTGTCCCGTGTGAAATAAAGCTGTATCCCGCTGAGAGTTCTATCTGTGCCTCGATGCCTCATCCTTCATCCGCTCGCTCTCCACCCAAACCTTTTACCTATCACTTTGTGCCAACAGTTTCTTGGCATTTCCATACACGTGTGTGATATACTCTGGTTGTATTTAGCCCTCCTGCCCACATGAATGGAGTTCAGTGGACTATCTGCCCTCCTGCCCACATGAATGGAGTTTAATGGGCTATCTGCATGCAGTATACCGCACATACTGACCAGTGCAAGCATCTTCCCAGCCCCCAGGCCCTGGAATCACCCCTGCAGTTCCCCGTTCAGCATCTGTATGTGGGAACGTGCTGGATTTGTCTCTGCCTTACTAGCACAATACCTTCCATTCCACCATTTGGCCCAGCCCTTCGGCTGTCTCTGTGCCTTGTTTCATACCCACTAGTTGCTGGGCTGACACCCCCATCAGTGGTGAGGAGTGCCCTGACTGGCAGCTGCCTCTTCTGTGTGCTGATTTAATGTTCTTTGCTATCTACCCAGGAGTGACAGAGTTGGATCTCATAGCAGTTCTACTAAATGATATTTTTATATGTTTTGTGGCTGTTGATATTTCCTTCATGAGAAAGGAAAATACATTTGGATCACTTGCCTTTTTAAAAATTGATTCCAGCTGGGCATGGTGGGGCAGGCCTTTAATCCCAGCACTCAGGAGGCAGAGGCAAGTGGATCTCTGTGAGTTCAAGGCCAGCCTGGTCTCCATTGGGAATCCAGGCCAGCTGTGACAACAGGGAAACCCTGTCTCAAAGGAAAGATAGGCAGAGGCAGGTGGATCTCTGTGAGTTCAAGGCCAGCCTGGTCTACATAGTGAGTTCAAGGACAGCTGGGGCTACAGGGAGTCCCTGTCTCAAAAAGATGAAAAAAAAAATCAAGGAAAGACTCCCTGGGGGGAAAAAATTGATTCCTGGGGTTGGAGAGATGGCTCAGCAGTTAAGAGCACTGGCTGCTCTTGCAGAGAATCCAGGTTCCATTCCCAAAACTCACATGGTGTCTTAGTTTGTTCTTCACTGCTATGACAAAATACTCTGACCAATACCAACTTGTGGGGGGGGGAAGGGTTTATTTATCTTACATCTCCCAGGTCACAGTTCATCAGGGAGCCCAAGGTAGGAACTCAGGCAGGAACCTGGAGGCAGGAGCTGGAGCACAGGCCATGGAGGTACGCTGCTTACTGGCTTGCTCTCTCGCCCCTGCTCAGCCTGATTTCTTATACAACACAAGCCCACCTGCCCAGGGGTGGCACCACCCACAGTGGGCTGGGCCCTCCCACATCACTCATCAAGAAGATGCCCCTCAGACATGGCCACAGGCCAGTCCAATAGAGGCAATTCCCCAATTGAGGCTCCCTCAACCCAGGTGTGTCAAGTTGACACTAAAGCTGTGCAGCACACATGGCGACTAACAACTGTCCGTAACTGCAGTTCCTGGGGGATCCAACACCCTCTTCTGACCTCTGTGGGCCCTGCACGACATAGGTGCACTTACATACATGTAGGCAGTATACTCATACATATAAAATAAAAAGATGTTGACTGGCCAGGTGTGGTTGTTGATCCCAGCCCTTGGGAGGCAGAAGTGGGTGGATCAAGGCCAGCCTGGTCTACAGAGCAAGTTCCAGGCCAGCTGGGGCTACAGGAAGACTGTGTCAAAAAAAAAAGAAGAAAAGAAAGAGAGAATGTGACTGTGATAGTTTAATGGGGCTAGAGGGATGACAGTGTCGGAGTTCAGTTCCCAATACCCATGTGAGTTGGCTCAAAACTACCTGTAACTCCAGCTCTAGGGGGTCCCACGCCCTTTCTGGTTCCCACGGGTACAGCACTCGTGCCGCACATACACAGACTCACACATAAGTAAAAATTTTTAAATAATTTTTTTTTCTTTTCTTTTTTTTTTTTTTTTTTGGTCCTTTTTGTTGCGGGTTCTCCTCAGGCCAGCTGTGAAGACACTGACCTGGATCGGGTCCCCTGTCGATTAGGGGGAGGCAAGAGGCGCAGAGTCACGACACACAGACCCAGGGAGCTGGGTAGAAGGAAGCACTAGGCGAGGTGCTGCAGGCTGGGTTAATGCAGGAGGGGGCAGACCTTATATCTCCCTTTTCTCCGCCCCCAAGTCGCTTTAGTCAGCGCATCATTTTCTGATTGGTCCGCGCCACGCAGTCTGTCAGCAGTCACTGGGCTTGTGAGCAGGGTACCGAGGCATGGGCTCCTTTTGGCGGGCTTTGCGACCAAGAAGTGAAGTGAATTCTCGCTGAATCCCAGGGCTCTGGGTCCGCGCCATCTTTGGAGGCCTCCTGATACACTTTTGAGACAGGGTCTCCCTGTAGCTCCAGCTGTCCTGGAACTCACTATGTAGACCAGGCTGGACTTGAACTCTCAGAGATCCACCTGCCTCTGCCTCCCAAGTGCTGGGATTAAAGGCATGCGCCACCATGCCTGGCTTAAATAACTTTAAAATAAACGTTTTCCAAAATGTTGTGGGTTTGTTTTTGGTATTTTTGAGACAGGGTCTCTCTGTAGTCCCATAGTCCCAGCTGTCCTGGAACTCACTATGTAGACCAGACTGGCCTTGAACTCACAGAGATCCACCTGCCTCTGCCTCCCAAGTGCTGGGATTAAATATTTTTAATGATAGTTTAAGCAGTTACAGGTAGTAACTGGAGTTGCAGGTAGTTGTGAGCCAGGCAGAGACAGGCAGATCTCTGTGCAGTCAAGGCCAGCTTGTTCTATATGGTGACAGGCCAGTTGGGGCTGCAGGGAGACCCTGTCTCAAAAAGACCCCCCTGCAAAAGAGAGTTTATTATTGGGAAACCCATAATATAACATACCATATTAATATATCTAAGCAGGGGCAGGATGGATCAGTGGTAGAGTGTTTACCTAACATGCCTAAAGCCCAGGGTAGGCTCGATGCCTAATACAGAAAACCCCCCCATTAGCTGTAGACAAGTGAGTCTGTTCTGTTCAGTTGCCTACGTGTCTGGGACAGATACATCTTTTAATGTCATGCTATTTTTGTTATTGTGGCTCTGTATCCTGTAGCGAGACTGGCCCCAAACTCATGATCCTTAGCATTTAATGGTACCTTGTTATTTACCAAGCTCTGTGCCAGTATTTTTACACTGAAGAAGTTACTAAAGGATGGAAGGGCCTTGCATGTTCCTGTATTTGAGTAATTTTGTTAAAATGTTCATACTACTGAAGCAATCAACATCAAAATATCAATGCCATTCCTCACAGAGCAGGACAACCATCCCTAAAGTCACCTGGAAGCACAAAAGAGCCCAATCTCGAGCAAAGAGAACCAAGCCCAGGCCTGGCATGGCGGCAGTTCTGTAGTCCCAGCACTCAGAGGGGTGAGGTAGGAAGACAGAGTTCAAGGCCAGCCTGAGGTACATAGCAAGGCCCTGTCCCAAGACAGAGACAGAGAGACTCAGAGAGGCAGAGGAGGAGAAAGAGGGAGAGGGGAGCAGAGGGAGGAGGGGATGCTATCCCTTCATCCCTCATCCCTTTGAGCCAGGCGGTACCATTTTCTGCTCCTGGGTGGTGAGTGCCACCTATGGTCTTAATTTAGAATGCACCGCTGAGACTGGGTCACGCCTTCTCAGAATCTGAACTCACCTTGAAAAATGAACTAAGTAAGATCTAAAAATAGTAAGGGCACCTTTGGTAGGGGACAGGAGGCAGGCTCTGCTCCATCAGAAGTGAGTTTTCAAGTCAAAGAGGTTTTGTAGTTTTAGTGTATCCTGTAATTTCAAGTTACTGTTAAAACAGAAGATACAATCTATAATCCACACTGGTTTGTGAAGCCTTGAAACACTGCAATGAGACAGCTGAGGGCTGTGCTCACCTCCACCCACCCTCCCCTGGTCCCAAGAGAAAAAATCAGTGAAATTAGAATGAGTCTCCTCTGTGACTTTTTTTTTCAACTTTATGAGCATGTGTGTAAGTGCACCCATGCAGTGCAATGCCTGCGGAGGTCAGAAGAGGGTCTCCGATCCCCTGGAACTGGAGTTAAAGATGGTTGTTAGCTGCCATGTGACTGCTGGGACTCAAACCTGGGTCCTCTGCAAGAGCAGCCATCTCTCCAGCCCCTCTTCAATGGCTTTCGACCCCAGACATCTGCAGCACAGAGGGGAAAGTTAACCCTTCACAGCTGACCAAAGCCTGGCCACTCTGTTCTGCATCTAAAGCCAATTTTGCTTTCCAAACTGCAAACACATAACAAATACACCCATGGGTCAAGAGATGGACAAAGCCTTGTGAATATTTTTAATGTATTTGTGTGTGTGCCCGAATGCATGTATGTATACCAGGTGCGTGCAGGTGCCCACAGAGGCAGGCAGTTGTGAGCAGCACAAGGCTGCTGGGAACCGCACCTCGGTCCTCTGTAAGAGCAGCAAGTTCTTGCCAGGCGTAGCGGCATGTGCCTTTTATCCCAGCGCTTGGGAGGCAGAGACAGGTGGATCTCTGTGAGATAGAGGCCAGCCTGGTTCACATCAGGTGGGCTGTGACTAGGGAGACCCTGTCAAAAAACAAAACAAAAAGAGCAGCAAGTTCTTTTAATCGTCAAGCCATCACTCCAGCTCCTTGTATATTTTTATTAAGAAACTGTAGACAAGGGGCTGGAGAGATGGCTCAGTGGTTAAGAACACTGGCTGTTCTTGCAGAAGACCTGGGTTTGAATCCCAGCACCACATGGTTGCTAACAACTATCCATAACTCCAGTTACAGGGGATCTGACAGCCTCTTCTGAGCTCCGTGGGCATTGCACGACAGGGGTGCGCTTTCCTATATGCAGGCAATACACTCATACACATAAAATAAAAATAAGTATTTTAAAAAGAAACTGTAGATGAGAGCTGGAGAGCTGCTCAGTGGTTAGAGCACCAGCTACTCTTACAGTCTGGTTCCCAGCACCCACACGGTGGCTAACAACCTTCTGTAACTCCAGTTCCAGGGAATCTGATGCCCTGCTGGCCACCATGGGTTTGCACGCATGTGGTGCACTTATATACATGCAGGCAAAACACTCATAAAATGAATAAAAATTTTAAATGTTTTAAAAGCCTGCAGATGGTTGGGGAGATGACTCAGCAGGTGAGAGTTGTGTAAACACGAGCTTAGATCCCAGCACCCACGTAAGGAGCTGGGCATGGCCTCACACACCATAACCCCAGTGCAGCGAGTCGGGGGGGCGCATGGCGCCACACTAGTTCCAGGCCCAGTGGGAGACCCTCCCCCCCCCCCCCAACCCCAGGGGCGGGGATTGGGGGGGGCGCATGGCGCCACACTAGCTCCATGCCCAGTGGGAGACCCTGTCTCAAGGGAATAGAGGACAGCCAGCATCCTCCTCTGGCCTCTGCACACACACGGTACACACACATGGTGCACACACATACGCACATACACCACATCCCCCCCACCACACACACACACAGGCACACACCATGCAGTGATACACATTTCAATAATGCAATACCAAAGCATAAAAAGCATCTGTTTTTAATTTTAAATAAACGCAGGGTGTACACGTGGGGAGCCAGACTCCTTCACAGAGTGTGAATGACGGTCCGGCTGCGAAGTTGCTGGATGTACTCCTTGGCGTGGTCCACTGCTGTCTTCGGTGCCTCAGGGGGCGGTGGGGCGCCTTCCACCAGCTTCACAAAGTAATGGCAGTAGACCTTCTCCATGATGCCACAGCGGCCTCTGCCGTGGTAGCGGATACGCTTCAGGCACTGGCCTCGCCCGGATGTGGACTCGGCTATGGAGGAAGAGAGAGAACCATGGGAGAGGGTCACTTTCACCACAGGGCTGCACCTACTGAGCAAGTCCTGACCCATCTTTTGGGAACTTGCCGGTCGGCTGGGGGCTCATCTGAACATGTGTTTCCTGAACACGAGCCACCTACGTGAGAAACAAGACCCCTGGCGCCACAGCCTACATTCTGCAGGGGAAGGACAGCACACGAGAGAATTGCAATCACTGGCAGGTTTCATGAATTAAATCTGATCGATGTGGCAGAGACTGATGAGTGGAGAGGTCAAGAGCACCCTGAAACTAGCCTATCACCCATACTCAGGAGGTAGAGGCAAGGGGACCTGAAGTTCAAGGCCAACCTCAGACAGGACACTAACTTTCAAAGGAAAACAAAATGATGTCCCTGAAGACATCTACCTGAGACCAGTACGGTCCACACATTCAGACATTCAGTCAGAGGACGCGAGTTCACCTAGGGCAGGAGCTGCAGACCAGACCGCACACTGGCACCCACTGGACTGGTGCGGGAGGCACACAAACAAGAGGAGGACAGGAGCATGGGGCAGACTACGTGTGGCCTGTGGGCTGAGGGAAATCTAATACGCAGCACCCACATCAAAAGCCAGGCCTGGGGCTGGCAAGATGGTTTAGTGGGTAGAGCACCTGCCATGCAAGCCTGACACCTGATCTCAGGTCCTGGAACCCACCAAAAGCCAAGAAAAGAGAACTGACTCCAAAGAGTTGTCCTCTGACCTCGACATGCATGCCATGGGACGCACGCACGCACACAAATTAAAAGCAGGTATGGCTGGGAGTGGTGGCACACGTCTTTAATCTCAGCACTCAGGAGGCAGAGGGAGGCTCAAAAAGAAGGAAAATAAAAAGGGAGGGAGGGAGGGAGCTAATCCACCAAGTCATCCCATCAATAAACAGGCCGTGAAGGCTGGAGATGTGGCCCAGAGGCCAGGAGAACCCACAGTCTCTCTGCACTCTGACACTATTTTTTTTGCTGTGCGTATTTTCAGCTGAAAACAGGTTTGACATCCTCAGCCATCATGGGGGTGGGGCGCCCTAGTCACTCACTGCTGGTGAACTATGCTATGTAGCCACTGTAGAAATCAGAATGGAGATTCTCCAAACACTAAAACCAGGCTACCGTATGACCCAGCTGTACCACCCCAGAGCATTCAGCCAGGGCTGAGTCGGCCAGCCTCAGAGATGCCTGCATGTCCACGTGCACTCAGCACTACTCAGAGACTCCCAAGATACGAACTCAGCCCGGATGCCGTTAATGGATGGAACAAAGCATGGAAATACACACAGTGGAGGACTTGAACCACATCCATCTACTGTGCACAGGGAAGTGTAGATGCACAAATGGAGGTCCCCTCTACCATGTGAGTACTGGGGACCGAACATGTTGACAGAGTGAGATTTAGATGACTTCTTTTTATTCTTATTGCTGAAAGCTTATAAAGTACAAGTAAATACTCTGTAATGTCTCAGCCCCTCCTAGTCTGTAGAGCGGCAGTCCCTCACAACCAGAATTCCAAACATCTTTAAGCGAAGTCATCCTTAGGTAGGTAGGTCTGGCAGATTGAGATACAAACGTCTCTTTGATTACCAAACCGATGGTCAGGAGCCACCGCTGCTAAAGTTCAAGGAGTCCAGCTACTGCCCCACTGTAGCACGGAGCTGGGGTGGGGTGGGGGGCACGGAAGAGTGCCCTAAGATGCACCGACTGTCCTCTAGTTAAAGAGTTATGTGAAGGCCCGATGCAAACATCAGCACCCTTATGGCTGTCCAGCACACCCTGCTTCCCACAGCACCTTCCCCACAATTCCGCTGGAGGCCCACGGAGAGGCAGACAGCACTTCAGGATGAAACACCAACAAAAGAAACAAACACGCAGGCCTGGGGGTCTGAGCACTCCCAGGTCCCTTGGCTTTTATAATTCAACGGGTGTCTCATCCTGATAACTGGAAGGTTCCATTTTACAACATGTTTATGGAGGAGGCATCTAGGGTGGCTCCTTATAAATAAAGACATCTCAAGTTTACATTACAGTCTATCTTTTACATAGTCATTTACGGTCTTAGTTTTACTGTGATTAAAGGATTGCAATGTGACAGGTCCTGAATTCCTTATTTAATAGTTACAGGCGAGCAACTTAAGGTCCCAGTACAGAATAGACAGTAACAAAGGCCATTCACACCTGATCAACACTGCTGTGCTTAGGGCTGGAGAAGGCATCACTAGCAGCTGGCGAGCCAGCCTAAGCATTCAGACAGTGCTGTTAGCGAGCACGGCATCAGAGACAGACTGCAGAGAAAATGAGCCTTACCGACATACAGGTTGGATCTGAATTCCACATTATGGTCTCTCACCGCCATGTCTTGTGCTTCTAAGAGAACCTTAAAACAAGCAGAAAAAAGGCCTCCTCAGACAGCTGATTCTGAACTCTAGTGGGATCAAATTTCTCTCCTGTTGTTTCTGAAATGTGCCTCATCTCCTCTCTCTGCTACGGTCAGTGCCACCACAGAAGGTGCGGGGTACTGGGCTGCGTGACACGGGGGAGGAATGCGCATAGCACCTGGCTGTGCCCTGGCAAGGAACACCAAATCTTTAAGATGTTCTGAAAAAGGAGCATCACATGCCTCGCACATCAGCAGCACATCAGCATCATGGCCTGTGGGGCAGCTACATGTAGGGCTGGGCCTCTGGAGACCAGGGACCCACCTAGGTACAAATGCAAGCTCATGGCCACAAGAATGCCAACCAAGATGACTGCCAACCTTCCTGAGCTCCTCCTGAGCTCTGCTCTGCTTATATAAGCATAAGGTCTCAGCACTCGGGCGGATCTCTGTGGGATCAAGGCCAACATGGTCTACATAGTGAGCTCCAGGCCAGCTGGGGCTACAGGGAGAGCCTGTCTCAAGAAAGAAAGAAAGAAGTTGGGCCTGTCAATCACCTGGCTAGGAGATCACCCCTTGAGAAAGTTAATTCACCTTAAGACATGCTGAGGAGATGGAAGAAATAATTATTCTCTTAATGAGATAAAGTACTTGTCCACTGTAGAAACCCCTCCTTTGGTACAGCGGATTATGGTGTTTCCACCATGTAGCTCTGCTAAGCCTGATCACTTTTCTGCGTTCTAACAAAAATAAAAAAAAATCATAAATGGAGTTGACTCCTCACCCTTTAAAAAAAACTCTTCTAAAAAACAAACCAAGTGTCAGTGCACGCATTTAATCCCAGCACTCAGGAAGCAGAATTGGGCAGATCCCTGTGAGTTTGAGGCCAGTCTGGTCTACACAGCAAGTTCTAGGTCACCAGGGTTACATAGTGAAACCCTATCTTGGCTAGCAATGTGCATGGCCCTGAGTTTAACCTTCATCTCCTCAACCCCATAAGCTAAAATCATTTTTTGTTAAAGGCTATTTTATTATTTCATAGACAAAAAATAAATAAAATGTCTGGTGTAAATAAAAGCATCTGAAGAGAAAATATATGTGAAGTGTACATTTCTCAGGAATAAAAAACTTAATAAAGCCGGGCGTGGTGGCGCACGCCTTTCATCCTAGCACTCGGGAGGCAGAGGCAGGCGGATCTCTGTGAGTTCAAGGCCAGCCTGGTCTATATAGTAAGTTCCAGGCCAGCTGGGGCTACAGGGAGACCCTGTCTCAAAAAGACCAAAAAAAAAAAAAAAAAACAAAAAAAAAAACAAAAAAAAAGAAAAAAAAAAAAAAAAAAAAAAAACAAAAACAAAAACAAAAAAAACCAACAAAACTGAACTCCTAAATCTGTACTATATAAAGTATACATTTCTACTACAAATTTCAGGAAGTTGTGATTTGGGCTGAGCTTGCCGACATCTACAAGATGGCTGCATGCCCCAGCCCTCCCAACTCCAAATCTTACAGGCTTACCTCTTTAATTACTTGGGCCCCTTTTTTATCACTGAACTCCAACTGAGCCAAAGCCTGGTCAATGGACATACCTCGTATCTAAATGGGGCATAAGAGAATCAGTGAATTCCTTCTCAAAATCCACGTTCCCGTTCACTGACAAGTAGACACCTCCCACCATCACAGAATTCTAGAGCAGTGAGCTAGCCCTAGACAAAACAGAAAACACACTTTTAGTCAAAATTAAATGCTATGCTCTAAAACCTGCAGAATATCAGTAATATTTAGAGGGCAGACGGGATGGCAATGATCACACCAGTGCCTCCTCCTCACACAGGGTCACTCTTTATGACTTTGCTGCCCTCCTCCTCCTCACCAAAGGCAAACACAGAATCGACAGTTTTAAAAGAGGTTGGATCAGCTTTTGTAAGTTAGTAAGCCAGAGAATCCAAACTTCCTGGATTCTCTGGCTATGACAGATGCCTGATGTTCTTGTTCTAAGCACCTACATCCGCTGTGACTTAGCTCCTCAGAAGCAAGGTTAAGGCTAGGCAGAGTCCTGCCCCTCTGAACAATCATTCTTCTGATTTCTTTCTGATTATTTGAACATATGACTTTCTTCCTCACTCTGGGAAAATTGGGGTAAGAAATTCTTACTGTTCAGGTCATTAGGGAACTCGTAGCCTCTTCTAGGTATCATGTGGCAACAGCCCTGTTAGCTTACTAGAGGTTGGGGGTCATGTGGTAACAGCCACGTTAGCTTACCAGTTTTGCCAAATACCACATCTTGTCCTTGCTGTATTTGATTTGTCTCCGACAGTGGTAAATTTCCTTAGAAGTAGGTTTTTGGAAAAAGAAAAGAGAGTTGTAGCAGAGTTACCAAGGTGGCACAATGCTCTATGCCCAATGGCAGCGCTGTCACAGGAAGCAAAAAGTCACTAAAGCTTGGGGACTCTTTCTCCTTACACAAAATTGTACGCCCCCCGCCAAGATCTCATGATGTTAAAGACCAGTGAGGGAGAAAGAGAAATAATAAAAGGTTCATCTGTGCCAACATCTGCAATACTCCTTTTTTTGTTTTTTGCTCTTTTTGAGACAGGTCTCCCTACAGCCCCAGCTGGCCTCAAACAGCAATTCATCCGCGTCTGCCTCCCAAATGCTGGGACCAAAGGCATGCACCACCACACCAGGCATATCTGCAACATTTCTATTTAGTAGTAAATGACTGGATTAAAATATCTTGAAAATGTTTAGCTATTTACTTTATTATTTCAAAATTAAATGTTTTCATTTTTTTAAAAAAATTTTAGCCGGGCGTGGTGGCACACGCCTTTAATCCCAGCACTCAGGAGGTAGAGGCAGGCAGAGCTCTGTGAGTTCAAGGCAAGCCTGGTCTACAGAGTGAGTTCTAGGACAGCTGGGGCTACAGGGAGATCCTGCTTAAAAAGACTAAAAAAAAAAACCCAAAATAAAAAAAAGGATCATTTACCAGCTAAGGCAGGAGGATCATGTGGCCAGCCTGGGCTACAAATCAAAGACCAGTTGCAAAAAAAAAAAAAAAATTCACCAACAAACTTCATGGAGTCAGTTTATGAGGGTCGGCAAAAGCAAGCAAACGGGCGGTGTGGGACTTTGTCAGCTGCAGTGATAAAGCTGCTACATCAGCTAGAAATCATGGAGATCCGGGGCAATCTCCCGTTCACGTGGCATAAAACCACTGCTGGCCAGGTTGGAGGCATGGGCCTGTAACCAGCACTTGGGAGGTGGAGGCAGGAGACAGAGGATCAGGGTTCAAGGCCAGCCTGGGGTACGTGTCGAGTTTGATGCCAGCCTGTATTACATGAGACCTGACTCAATGGAAAGGAAAAACAAGAGCAAAATGAAGACATCAGCGGTGCGGAAACTCACTGCTGGCCTCCGAGGCTCGCCGGGCAGCTGGGGTGGGTAGACAACCGCATTCTTCTTCTCCCATCTTTTAGAAGCTTCCAGGGCAGCGCTCGAGTGGATGCATGACTGGGGAGGAACTGCACGAGGTGAGAGAAGCCTGGGAGACAGCAGCATTTACGGAGTTTAAGAAGGAGTCACGGCCACTTAGGCTGAAGCAATTAGAGACTATCCTTCCTTCATTGGAGGCTGAGTGAGTCACGGAAGTCAAGGAGCAGGGTTAACCCAGCTCTTTGCCCGAGGACAGTGACTGCTGACCCCCTAGTACATGGGCTTAGCTCTAAAACACAGACACAATGGAGTTACCTAATGTGTACACAGTACGGCACTGCAGGGAGGGAGGCCTCGGCATGGGGCACTGCAGGGAGGGAGGTCTTGGAGCTTAGACAAAGTCCAACCTGGCAGAGGACGGAAACACCGACTCCCACCAACAGCAAAGGCCAACATCACTTGTACACAGTGACAGAGCTGAGAAGTCCTAGGAGACGTCTGACTGAATCAAGAGTGCTGGGTACTGGAGGTGGGAAGACGTCTCTGAATGCTGACTAAGGCTGGGAGTTGATGAAGACCTTAAATTCACCATTCCACGACCCCCCACCCAGCCGCCTTCCTCAGCAACGGCTGCCCCTCTCCATCACTAAATAAACCCTCCTGAAATGGTGTCCTGGGGTTTACCTTCAATCTCCTAGTCATCTCATCCCAACAGAGCTAGCTGCTCACCAGGTCTTACTGACTCCTGAGACTATTTCGCAAACGTTCTGCTCTAGTTCAGGACTAGAGCAATCAGCAGCTGGCTCTGCTGGACTTCTCTCCCACGACCTCAGCAGTTCCAAGCCACCTGCCCCTCCTGAGCGCCACACGGGTCCCCTTCTATAGCAGAGACGCCAGTTAAAAATTTTGTTGAAGTAAAACAAATGAGTAATCATAGGATTTGCTGTTGTCTTTTTGAGACAGGGTCTCCTTGTAGCCGCAGCTGGCCTGGAGCCCACTATGTACACCAGGGTGGCCTTCATATTACAGAGATCTACCTGCCTCTGCCTCCGAGTGCTGAGATTAAAGGTGTGCACCACCTAGCAACTGTGTTTTAATCCTTTTTTTTTTTTTTTTTCCACTGCCATTGAGAACTGGGATTTTTTTTTTTTATTTTAACTATTTTATTTATGGGCTGGAGAGATGGCTCAGCAGTTAATAGCACTGGCTGCTCTTGCAGAGAACCTGAGTTCAATTCCCAGTACCCACATGGCGGCTGACAACAGTCTGTAACTCCAGTTCCAGGGGGCCTAACACCCTCTTCTGGCCTCTGTGGACTTTACATGACACGGGTACACTTACATACATACAGGCATAACACTAATACACATAAAATAAAAAATAAAAAATTATTATCTTTCTACTGGAGTTACAGACTGTTGTTAGGCATCATGTGGGTGCTGGGAATCGAACTCAGGTCCTCTGGAAGGACAGCAAGTGTTCTTTACCACTGAGACATCTCTCCGGCCCTGTCACCTGGTATTCTTGCTGTGGGAGCAAGCAGGTGTCCACATGAGAGGAGCAGTGAAAACCCCACGTTGGAGGATTAGAGGACCTCCACAAACAAGGTCTAGAAGCAGTGAGCACAGGGGTCCTGAGCCCCCAGGTTATGCTCCTGAAACACCTTTTCTTACAGAACGGAACCAAACTTCTGGAGGAAATGGCTGATTGCCGATCTTGGGCAGAAAGTGTGCAAGACAAACAAGAAACAATTCACCAAACCGGAAACCAGGGAAGCTGGCGCAGACCCACAGGGCACATGAAAGGGACCCAGGAGTCACTCGTCGACCCCACAGGCCAAGGGTGGGGCAGTTCAAGCATTAGTAAAGATGACACCTGCAGGGGTTTGGAACTCATCAAATGTGTTTGAAGTCTTAATGAAACCAAGAAAACAACCCAAACTAGTTTTCACAGAAGATGCTAGTCAGCCAACTTATTCTGAAATCTGGCAGGTGAAAACAATCAAACGTCTGTCCTCTCTCACAAACTGTCACTAAGCGGCCAAGCAGATGCAGCACACTGGCGACAGCATCGCTTTGAGAACCTCAGTAAGTGAATGGACGAAGGAGGTCCCTGCTGAAGGGCAGGCCAGAAGCCAGCTATGAAGCACTCCGTCAAGGAAGCTGCATCAATCAAAGATCCAACGCCGGACAGAGAGAAGGGGCACACGGCTGGACACTCGGCAAAACCCAAGCTGCGGAAAACTCTGTAAGACAAACCACTGGCTTCAACAAACAGGAGGGAGAGAAAAGAAAGGTGGGGCTGAGAGACAGCTCAGCAGTTGGGCACACACTGCTCTAGCAGAGGATCAGAGTTCAGTTCACAGCACCCACATGGGTCAGCTCACAACCACCTGTAACTCCAGCTCCAGGGGATCCAATGCCCTCTTCTGGCTTCCATGGGTATCTTCACACTCTGACACAAACATGCACATAAATGCTTTTTTAAAAAAATGGAAGAGAGTGTGCCAGGCGTAGTGGCGCACACCTTTAATCCCAGCACTTGGGAGGCAGACGCAGGCGGATCTCTGTGAGTTCAAGGCCAGCCTGGTCTACATAGTGAGTTCCAGGAAAGCTGGGGCTACAGGGAGACTCTGTCTCAAAAAAAAAAAGGAAGAGTTTGAACAAAGAACCTATATATCTAAGACTTATAAGAAGTGTCTAAAACATCAATACATGGACTATTATAATTTTTAAAGCATAACTAGGAAGTCACTGGAATTTGAACATCAACTGAACACTACAATGATACGTAGTGAAAAATCTGTGGCTAAAATGATACAGTGTGGGGAGAAATAAGGTTGGCCATGAGCAACTGTGGAAACTGGGGGTACACCAACGTTCCCTGCTTCTGAGCATGTGTGAGCATGTTCAAATGGCAGGCTACCACAAACTCTAGGGTTTCTGAATTACCTCAAACCAGAGTCCAAACTCCCCAGCAAGTCATGAAAAGCCTTTCGAATTGAGCTCCCACCTGCCCTTCCTCGACCTATGTCCTGCCACAGACCCAAGTCTGTCCCTTTGCAGCCTTCCGGGCCATTTCCTCTCACATCCTGAGGCATGTGCTTGTACTGTGCTACGTTCCAGCACAAGCATCCCAAACATGAAGCACCTCCTGCTCCCTTCCCCAAGGCAGTGACACCCCGCACTGCCATACCCCGCTCTTGCCATCCATTTGGCGAATGGTGAATGATTTGGAATGTGGCACTGTTACTATATGCCAGCCTTGTAGACCCCCAGTTCCTGTACTGAGAGTACAGATGTTGAGCAGCAGAGGCAAGTCTAACATCCTTTGCCCTTAGCACCAACGACAGGTAATGGGAGACTCTCTAAGGAAGCACTGAGCCCAGACTTCAGTACTCAAAGCTGTGTACTGGTGGATTCTCACACAACATGTTCGACGTGGCTGCAACTGACAAAGCTTTTTTTTTTGAGACAGGGTCTCCCTGTAGCCCCAGCTGTCCTGGAACTCACTATGTAGACCAGGTTGGCCTTGAACTCACAGAGATCCGCCTGCCTCTGCCTCCCGAGTGCTGGGATGAAAGGCATGCGCCACCACGGCCGGCTTGACAAAGCTTTTATCAGTCCTCAAACCAGTCTAAAGAATCAAATAAATCTTTCTCCCTAGAATATCATTTCTTCTGCTTTACCTCAAGGTCAACAGCTGAAATCCCAACATCAAAACCAGCGACGGCAATACCTAATAAAATCCGTACCTTACAGCTACATCTGGGTTCCGGTGCTTGAACTGAGAAGTACAAGTCTACAATGCAGATCCAAGAGGGCAGAATTCGGTATGACACCACATGCAGGGGACGAGGACAGAGGCTGTGGACTAAAGCCTGCCCATTCTAACCACCCACTCTAATTAGGGCAATGGCCTTGGGAAAGATCTATCTCTACGGCTCCAATTCCCAGCAGTACGTGTGGTAACACTTAACCTGACACTGAACAGGACTCAATAAATCTCACATATAATTATGTGTGGCATGAGAATAAATGAACTCCGCTCTGTTCTTCGTGAATTAATTACTAATTTACATGCCCTGCAGCGTCTAACACAGGATGACCCTGGTGGCCAGCATCATTTGAACGGTAATCTGGTTCTTCCCAAGCACATCTGTAGGCCTCACAACACACGCCTTCGACGCTCAGGTTCTACATAAAGTCAGCGGGTAAAGCGCTGGCTGCTCTTGTACAGGACCCGGGTTCGAATCCCGGCACCCTAAGAACGTCTGTAACTCTAGGGCTCCGACGCCCCCTTCTGGCCTCCTCGGGTATTGCCCGACATGGTGTACTTGCGCGCAGGCAGGCCCGGCACGCATGAGCCGTGAGCCCCGCAAGGGCGCGCGGCCGGGACGACTCACCTCTGGGCCGGCGTTCCCCCGCGCCGCAGGCTCCAGCCCCATAGTGCACCTGCAACAGGAGCAGAGCCGTCAGGTTGGGTTCGCGCCGCCCGCCTCCCCGCGCCCCGACCCAACCTTACCCAGCTCTTGCAGCACCGTCGCCGCCATGCCGGCCCCGCTACGGAAGCCGGGACGAGCCGCCACCGTCGGCGCCGCGCATGCGCACGCTCCAGGCCGGCCGCCGCGGCCCGGAAACCATGCGTGCGTTGTCATGGAGACCCAGGATGCTCTCTAGATGGTGAATGGCCTCATAAAGACCCAAAATGTAGTGCGTTTAGGTCGTTGACCGAAAAGAAGAAAGACTATTCGTTGGGGCGGCTCCGCAGCTCGGCACTGGGGTGGGCAGCAACATCACCCAAGGTCCAGGCCACCCGGACCACGTGGAGAAACCGGGGGAGGGAGGGAGAGGAAGGGAGGGAGGGAGGGAACAAAGAAGGAAAGAAGGGAGGGGGAGAGGAAGGAAGGAAGAGAGGGAGGAAAGGATGGGAAGGAGACAGGGAGAAGAGAGAGGGAGCGAGAGAGAAAGGAGGGAGGGGGAAGGGAGGAAGAGATGAAGGAAGGGAGGGAAGGAGGGAAGGAAGGAAGGAAGGAAGGAAGGAAGGAAGGAAGGAAGGAAGGAAGGAAGGAAGGAA